CCTTAAGACCAGTACTAATTGCCTCATGTCTTACAGCCTAACTCTTCATGGCTAAGTCAAGAGCAGGTTTTCAGTGTCAGTTAAGGGGAAAAAAATTCCACATGGGAGATGGCCAGAAGCATCCATCAAGCACAAAATATGGTGCTTTTTAACTTGCACGTGACATCCTGTGAAAGCAGTCTCCCAGCTCAGCCACAGCTGGGAAGGTCCCTGGGTCCAGGTTTATTCAGCTCCAGTGCAATCTGGGAGCAGTGCTGCCTGCCTCAGTGTTTCTCTGGCACAGTGGGCTCCAAAGCCAGCTGGGGCTGGGCAGACCCTGTATTTCTATCAGGTCCTGTGGGTGATGTGAGCAGAGGGTTTCCCAGCCTGTGGGATAAGTGTGGACTATGCGGTTTGATCACTGGTGACTCAGAGTTACCCCCATCCCAGGCACAGCCACGCACCAGCACGACCTGGGACAGGGACAGCCGTGGCCACAGGGCATCCCTGCCCACACTTGGTGGTGTACCATCTCCTGCCCCATGACCTTTCTCACCAGGCTGGCAGCTGTGGGCTCAGGATACAGCCTTGTGGTTATGGGCGCAACCACTACCCTGACACAGGTGTCCTGACTATCTGGCTCACCGACTGAAATAAATTGAACAGAAACTCGAAGAACTCTGAAAAATGCTGTAGTGAAAGGTCTGGAAGGAAGCTGGAGGCACACAGACCCTACGGCTTTGTGGGCAAAGATGTCCACAAGGACATCTGGCACAGGATACCTGCTTTATGCTTCCCAGACAGGGCTGTGATGAAAAACCATCTTGTCTGGAGGAGGGAGCTCACTCCCAGGCTCTGCACTGCCAGCTTGCAGCTGGGCTAATGTGAAGGAATGCACTCCCTAGCAATGCTTCCTTATAAATTATTTTTACTGGGAGATTTGAGTGTTGTTACAGTGAATGTGTGTACAAATACTGGAAGAACAATGTGTGCTAGAGAAAACGAAGTGAAAAACCACCCAGCTTCCTATTTCTCCTGGGTAAACCTGTGATTTCTCCCACCTTCTTGAGTTGCAGTCTAATACAATATTGTACAGCCTTCTGCCTCCTTAAATAATTCCTGCTGGAGTAGTAGACACTGAGTACATCACTCAAATCCCATGAAGTTGTTTAGCTTCCAGTTCCACATCCTGAGGAGTTAACTCTCTAGGAGAAGGGAATGATCTGGGAGTCCCTCGGGGTGCTCTCCTGGCACAGGATAACTCCTGGCATGGCGCTAGAGCTGCATATTTTGCATGGGCTTCCAGTTTTACTGTCAGTCCTATTCTCCTGAGCTCCCATTTCCTCTCTTCCAGTTCCTCACACATCTATTGTGATTCAAATAAATGTGATATATTGATGCTTCACCAGTTTGAAATGAACTGCAATTACCAACAGAGGATCCATTTAATTTACTTCCAGCCATCTAGAAGTCAAACACCTGGCTTAAATGAATGGTCTATAGTCTGGGGGGAGGGATGGACATTGCCAGAAGTCAAATGCCTTCCTACCTATTTTAAATACCTTTTCTAAGCCAGATGAACTGCATTCTGAAAGCACTCTCCATGTCTGTAGAGGAACTACAAAACCAAGGTTTAGATGATTCAAGTGGTGACTTGAAACCCATCCTTGATATTTGTTTAGAAAGTAACTGTGAAAGATGAGAACCAAAGAAAAAACCAAAGAACTATCTGTCAGTTATAAAATAAGTCTTGTCCTATAAATTGCTGCCTTTGCAAATAACAAGGATGTGGAAGAGGAAGAAGAAGGAGAGACTGAAGATGTCCCAAGAGAGAGAAGACCAACAGGGGATTTTTAATTATTTAACAGCCACTGGAGTGTGAGATGAGGAGGTTACATCTACACAGGACTTTGAACACACACCAAGGCACTATAATTTTCAGCCCCTCGCTCTCTGAGATGAATCAAAATTAATAATTGAGAGAAGAAAGTCTCTTGAACTGTTTGTCATCAGTTATATGTCTCTGTTACCTTGGAGCAACAACCAGCACCCGGCAGGTGCTGGGGGACTGCGGGGACACGGTGCCAACTGCACCAGGATTTCAGTCCTTCTTCAGCCACTCTGCTGCCAGTTTCAAGTGCTTTAGGTGACTTTTTTTCATAAGTTGCACTCCACGTAATAGCAGCACATGTGGAGCAGCAGCTCAACAATACCAGTAAAGCTGCTGAGCACACAGAGAGAAGCAGCGGGGCTGGAGCAACAAGCTGGATTGGGATGGTGGCAAATGAAAGCAAAGCAAACAAAACCTGAGACAGAGTCAACCTTTAGCCAACAAAGTGATGCAATCAGAGCAACCACTTGTTTCTTGCAGCGCTTAACTGAGTTGAAGGAGTAATTCCTGAGGGACATAAGTCTGTTGAATGCATTGAGTAGAGAATAATGCACTTTACTGAATGAGGTGGCCATGGGCAGGCCCCTTCTTTGCATGGCAGTGAAACCTTTTGTGCCATGGTGGGGCTGCCTATACATTCCTGAGATGGGTTTTAACTCAGCATGGGTTGGGCACAAACCCTGCATTAAAGTTTGCAGAAGGGGACCCTACAGCTGCAGCATTCACAGAGCCCTGGCCGGGCTCAGGCTGGCTCAGAGTGGTAGAGACTGACCCTGCCCACAAACAGCCTCTGTCTGCCTCCTTGGCCCCAGAGCCAGTCGCTGTGCCCCTGTGAGAGCCAGCAGTGGTTACTAAGCCAATCTTAAAGCTGCTAGTTCTGGCTACAGGCTCTTGTCCTGCCTTGTTGTCAGGGTGCCTCAGGACCAGGCAGCTCAGAGTCTAGACTGCAAGGGTGTTCAGCATCTAATATCTTTGGCTGTGAGACCACAGAAATCTCATTCCTTTAGGAAGAGGCTCAGGAATAGCACTTTTGCCGTCCTGCCAACTGGGCATAGCATCTTTGAGAATGAAGAACACTGCCTTCGCAGCTGACTATAGGCAGATTTTTCAGGCTTTTTTTCTGAATTTGCATGCCATGGACACTGTTCTCAAATCCCTTAGACACCTAAATGAAGTCTGATTTAACCTTGGCTGATAAAGTATCAGCAGCTGCACAGTAAGATTTTCTGAAGTTATGGCTGCAAGTCTTGCACATATCTGAAAAACTCCACTGAGATTTTCATCAGCATTAGGCCATGAAAGGTTACTATTGGAAAAGAACAGGATAAATCAAGCAAAACTATCAACAGTGGGAGAATATGCTATTTATTTACTACCATGTAAAGCTGAAAGAGGGAAAGACAGTAAAAATGAAAAATATTCCTTTTATTTTTTTTAACCATAAAGCTTTCCCCTTTCTTTCTTGTCCTATATTTCATATTGAAAGGAGGAAAAGTGATAAACTTCCCTTTATTTTTGCTTTTTTTAGTCTAAGGAAACTGCAATGGCAAAATCAAAAGCCAGAATGTTTTTAAGATACTCCTTTTATCTCCCTTTGCTGAAACGCATAAAATTAAAAGGTAGTGTAGGACATCTATTAAATTACTTTTTTTCTTCCACCTTTTTGCTAAACACAGCAGAGGAAAAAAGTCACAGAAAAAAACTCCCCATGACTGAACAGGGCAATTGCTTTGTCTTTCAGGCACAGATTCAAAAATATGGATAGGTTTATATATAAATACATATGCTGTAACCAAAACCTCAAATTCAAATACACCTGAGCTTTTGGGAAGTTTGTATATACATTCAATCTTTGTGGCTTAGGCTCATCTGTAACAGAAATATTTGCAAATAGACAGAATACTTCCTCTTTAATCTTATCTAGCAATCTGTCTGTTTGTCTGGGATTTTCCTAGAGATGGCCTCAGATCCTGATATCTGAGGGCTGCATGGCTAAATTAAGGAGAGATCATACACAGCTTCACAGAGGCCTTTATTTTTTTCTATTTGCCATGAGCATGTATTTCATTTTAATCCACTGGGATGAAAGGCAGTAGCCTGGCTCAGCCATCACTGAGCCCTATGGGACCACCCTCGGGAAAATACATTTTGGCTGATGGTTCATAAAATCATAGAATGGTTTAGCTTGAAAGGGGACTTAAAGATCATCTAGTTCCAAACCCCTGCCCTGGACAGGGACACCTTCCACATGACCAGGTTGCTCCAAGCCCCATCCAACCTGGCTTGGTTGTTTGCACTATGGGCAGACTGTGGCTGACAGGCACAAGGGTTGTGAGTCCTCTTTCCTGGGGCTCTTCCAGAGCTCAGAGCACATCCCACCCTTCATCTCCCAGCTCTTATGCCTCCATCAGACCAAACAGTGTCCAGTGGTACCTCATCAGCTCCTCTACAGGTCACGTACCCCAGAGGACAAATTCTGGATTCTTGCCCAAGAGCTATTTCTTCATCCACAAAGAGGATTGTCTGAGGTTTCACGCCTTCAGTGCCTCCTTTAGGCCAGCTGCTGCAGCTTGGCAATAGGGAAAAGGTGGTGAAATGTCAGGATCTATCCACGCGTGCCTGGTTAATTGTTGTAAATTAGCTCGGCCTGTTTATGCACTTGAAGAACCTGAGGCACCACTGGCAAAGTAAGATGGATTGACTTCAGCTAAGCACCTCAGATCTTGATCTCTGGAGGACAAGAGGTGGTCGAGGCTGTTTAATAACTGTTCAACCCCAGTGCTGCTTAGACAACTACCCTGCATTGTGTTTTGGACAATTTATCACGGCGTGTACCTGCGTCAGCAGTTACAATTACCTCTGAGATTTAGTGCACCAGGAAAGGCTCCAATTTCAACAGAGCCACGCCATGCAGCATAGATGGAGAGAAATAGAGATTTTTTTCAGAGTTTTATTGTGTCCTTTCCTGTCTGTGTCCCCCCACATTGCCGAGAGGGATTTTGTCACCTCCTTGAGTATTTTCTCGTGGTAACTTCTCACCACTTCAGATTCTCGGCATTCACTGTGCGAGACCTCACCGACTACCAGCGCTCGTGTGGTTAATGGGTGAGAGAAGGGGAGAGAGCACATCTGAAAGGAATGCAAAGAAACATAAACAATTTTATTAACAAGACCACAAAATTATTTTTTAATATATGCAGCCATTTACAAGGAGCAAACAAACAAACAGAAAAACCCACTGGGGAGACATGGTCGGCGTCAGCGACCACAGAGAGCACACACACATATGGTATGGGCAGGTCTGGGTAGGGTTCCTTTCCTCCAGCCCCTACGAGCATGGTAAGCCTGTGCAGACCTGGCCCTAAGGAGGGGGGGTGCCACGTGCATCCTGCTGCGGTGCCAGGGACGATGCCAGCTGGGTCAGGGCTCGGGCAATGGTGGAGAGGTGGCTGTTCATCGTCCGCAGCTCGGCCAGGATGTCGCTCACGTTTGCCGACGCCTGCTCGGAGCTCGGGGGCATGGCACGGGCAGCTGGTGGTGGGGAAGCAGCCCCCGGAGCACTGTTTCCCATAGGTGCTGCCTGGGGATTCTCATCATGGGAGGGCTGTGGGGGTGGGCTGCTGCAGGGCTTCATGCCTTCCAGGGAGCCTGTTCTTATGGGTGGCTGGTCTTCCTCCTTCCCTTGGATGGTGGCAAGTGTTGCCGAAGCAAGGAAGGGCAGCCAGTTGATGAGATGGGTGGCACCGCTGGGTGGGACTATTGGCAAATAAATTCCAGGGTGCAGGGATGGAGCAGAGGCAGGTGGTGCAGGAAGAGAAGGAAGTCCAGGGAGAACAGTGGCAGCAGAAGTGGATGTTGATGGTGAAATAGGAGGTGGTTTGGGACATAAGGCTGCGACACAGGCAGGTAACGGTGGTGAAAATGATGCAGTACCAGTGTCAGAGGAAGAGCAGGGTGATGCTGGAGCTGTGAAAGGTCCAGGTTCTTCAGAGGTTGGTGGTGAGGTGGCAGCAGGTGGAGCATCAGGTGTGCAAGGATCTGAATCTGTAAGGAAGACACATCATGAGCCTTGATTTACACATACACAGACTGTTGTCTGCTGTCCCCTCAATGGGACCGGGCCTTCTGAAAGGGGGAATTTCATCAGCTGGCAGTGATACTTTCTGTAGGCCAATTAGAAAAGAACAGATGTACTCAAAGACAAGAGTCTATTGTAGGTAAACATGAACTTAATATTATAAAACTAAATTAACTTTCCACCCTTATTCTTCATAAAGCCTGTGGACAGGCCTGAACATTTTTCTGGTTGGCATCTCATAGCTGTGCATTAGCTGGTGAATTCCCTGCTGTGTTTTCCTGGCCAGCCATAGAATGATGGTAATGTCCTAACTGACTCAGATCTCCCCTGGAGATGTGAGGGCTGGATGGTTGCTGCCAGAGGCAAAGTTAATTGCTGCTTTATAGAGGGTCCCAGTTTTCAGCATTTTGATTTGAATAGACAACTAAACACCAGAAAGAGTAAGAGCTACTTGGTGGCTTAAACTCTTCAATAATTTTATTTTTTTTTGTATGTGGAAACATGACTGAGTTTACACAATCAAACTTAGATATATATCCCTACCTAGATCCCTTCATTAGCTTCAGCTATGAAAATCAAATCAAAAAAAGAACAAATAGATAAAAAGAAATTGTTGACACTGGCCATCCCAGCCTGACACCTGTGCTCTCTCGCCAGTAGTTCAGTGGACCTCATCCAATGTCCCCTATGGCCACTAGAAATGTTCTTTCTTGGACTGAATCCATCAGATACAGTCTAGGATGATAGAGCAGCCCCTAGGGGATACACAAAGGCTTGGAGAACCACACTAAGGTCCAAGGTGCTCTACCCACTGTGCCCAGCTGTTAAATACTGTATGGTAAGGATGATCCTATTTCTACAATCATTCTGAAAGCCAGAAATATAATAGGAAATGTTTGCTTTTCAACAGCCTCAAAGATATGCATTGGTGGAATTACTATACCACTCTGTAGATTTTTATTTTAGCGTTGGGAACACATTATACAGGAGGTGGTGAGATGCTACAGGAGTCATCAGTGTAAGACAGATGGATTTTAAAACTACTTCTTCTGCAATTAAGTGCAAATTTTAAGGCACTACTGTGGATACAAAGACACAAATTAATAGATTTATCTAGGTTAAAACAACCTAGAGAAAGCCAAGTACTAAGGTGTTAACACCATACTATTATTATTTCTGGCATCTAAAAAATTTGATGTGAGAAATCCATTTTCATTACTGGCTGGTTTGATATTCCAGATAGCAAACTGAAACTGACTCAAAAACAAAGAAGGCTTCTCCCTGTCATTTCTAACACCAAACCAACTGGACATGCAGCGAGCAAAAGTCCATCTTTGTCCCACATGGGACCACCATGTTGTTCCTAATCAAACACATATGTGGCTTAGAGGGGATTATGACACAAAATTCAGACTGCCTTTAGGTCCCTGAGGTTTTTATGGAAAGTTACTGCAGGTTCCTTGAAACAGTTTCCTTCCTTTGTGTATTGACTTTCTTCCCAATACAAAGTCCTTGCCTTCACAGGCGCTCGATCCCTGTCCAATAGAGGTTGGCTAAGGACGCTGGATGTTGGGTTTCCAAAGTGCTATTGATTTGTCTTTGGTTTTTCAAAACAAAAACAAAAATAAAGCACAGTTCAAATACAGGTTCCTTTTCCATCCAAACCACCAAAGTTTGCAGGGTTGAGATGAAAGGTTCAGGTTTGGCTCCACTGTGGTGTTAACCAGAACAACGTTTATGGTCTGTATATAGCATGGCTAATGCCTGTCCGCACTGCCCAAACAAACCAAATTAAGTGTAACATTTTTCCGTACATTAGAGAGCAGAGAAAGCTTGACAAACCTTGATGTAATCTGGTTTGCTACTGTGAAAAATAACTGTCACAAATGATTCTTAAACGGTCAAAGAGCAAGCGGGGTTAAAATACAAGTAATGGCAACTAATAGAGACAAAAACAGAGGCACAAATCAGGACACCAAAGGCTCCTCCTTTTGGCTGAAATCTTTTCAAATAGCGTGGTTTCCCTATCAGAAACCACAGCTTTGTCATCCCCCTAATGTCCCCTTAAGGTTTACTTATGCCATGCAGCCTTTAAACACAACTTGCTCAGCTTGATCAGGCTCCCATACTTCCATCCAAGAAATTCCACACGGGTGTGTGTAAACCTCACATATCCAGGACATGTGGAAGCTGTTGCACTGCTCAGATCAATGGGAATGTGCACAACTGACATAGAGTACTCTGTGCACCCAGAGCAACTGCTGGTCTGGATGGGGTCTGATCCAACTGCTCAGTTATCTGAAGACCCACACTGATGGTGGAAACTGCAGAATCTCAGCATCACTGAGGTTGAGAGGGATCTCTGGAGACTGCCTAATCACAACCTCTCCTCAAAGAAGTGTCAGCAACTTTTTCTACATGGACAAAATTGCTAGGGCATGTTTGAGAAAGCCCAACAATGTGGGAGTCCTAAACAGGATGAAGCATGAAACAAACAACTTCTGTTGCCTATCACATACAACAGGATGATTCTATTTATTTCCTTCCTCTCTAATTTTGTTTTATTTTTTTTCTCATTGCAACTTGTCACAACTTTAGTGCTTGTCTTTTCACTTTTTTGTACAGCCCTAGCAGAAAGAGAGTCTCAACTGGAGCATCCAGGGGCACTCTCATTACTGGGTGTTCAGTCAACATCTAGACAGAGCTGTAGCTAAGTGGGGTTGGATGGATGCCTGCAGAGAAGAGATGTTGGACACAGGGTGCTCAGACAAGTACAGTGACCTTCACTAAACATATCAACCCACCTGTGCATGGTCATTCAGTGTCCTCCAGTACACCAGTCTACAGAGGCTGGGTAGGTTTTGTAGCATACTCCCACATCCAAAGATTGACTGTTCAAGGCAGGCTTGTAGCTTAGAAGACAAGTTATTTTGCCAGCTAAGGAAGCTAACCCAGGACTCAGAAAACTTGGTTGGGATCAGCTTCATTTAAACAATTGAATTGCAAGTGCTTAGTGAAGAAATTCCACGAAAGCCCTATATTTTCCATGAGCTGTATCTCTCTAAGCAGTCTTGCAGTCACTTCTTTTCTACTGAGAGCATAGGGAGCTTGGCCTCCTTCAGGAGGACTGGGTTAATGAGATGGGATTCAGGTCACAGAATCACAGAATATCCTGAGTTGGAAGGGCCCACGAGGATCACTGAGTCCAAATCCTGGATCTGCATAGGACCACCCCAAAAACCACATCATGTCCCTTGTCCAAGTGCTTCTTGAACTCTGTCAGGCTTGGTGCCACGAACCCTAGGGAGCCTGTTCCAGTGCCCAACCACCCTCTGGGTGAAGAACTTTTTGCTAATATCCAACCTAACCCTCCACTGACACAAATTCATGCCTTTCCCTTGGGTCACCTTTAGCTTTCACAGTCTACAGCATAGTTCTATGTCTTATCTAACTCCCAAGCCTTTCTTCACAGTCAGCACCACCTCTTTTTTGCTAGAATGAGAAATATTTATCCTCTCCTCTTTACTTGGAATAATGTAGGATAACTGACTTGCATGTGGATGTCGTACTGAAAATGCCTACACTGCAAAACAGAACTCCTAAACAAGATGTATGAAAATGAGTGTCCACGTTAGAAACATTCCCTATCCTTCTCATCTACTATGGATCTTCCAAAGGAAAGCCAATGTACATCTTTGTGTTACCTATTTACAAGTAAGAGGGAATAGTTGTCCTGCTCTGTCACCTCCAAGAGGACCTTGGGGTATTAAAAACTCACAGGGCTGTAAATAGTAGGTGTTAAAGTAATGACAGGGAGCAGAGGAGCACCTCCAGGAGAGGATTTCCTGGTATTTGTCCTGCCCATGATGATGGATGTTAACAAAAGATTGATGGTCTGCCCTGTGAGTCTGGTGAAATTGAAGTTACTTTAAATGCATTCATCTGTATGAGAAGAGCACGTATTTCACTTTACAGGCAGTCTTGGCTATCTTAACTGCCTTTGTTTGACTACTGATTTTATCTGTCTTGCAGCCAAATTGCTGCAAACTCTGATTTCTTAGTCTTTTTTCAGCTCACAAGTGAAAGGTCTGTGAAGAAAAAACCTTGAGGGAAAAGCAGAAGCATGACTTTCCATGGACTCAGCTCATCTAACATTAGCCCTTTAGCTGGAATCTAGTTAGAGGCAGTCATCCTAGATCCAGTTGAGAAAGAAGCACCTCTGGGGACAAGCCGGTCCAAGCTATCAGGTCCCTAAGAAGGGTGGGGCATCATGCTCTGAAGTGTCCCTCTCCTCCCAGCACTTCTTGTACGAGAAGTCAACTACCTTAGATAGACAGAGCAACTTCTAAATAGCTACAGTTGTGTGAGCTGGATTCCTCACTTTATGTGTAGATGTAGCAAGTAATTTCATAGAATCACAGAATGGGTCAGGTTGGAAGGGACCACAGTGGGTCATCTGGTCCAACCCCCGTGTTCAAGCAGGGTCATCCCAGAGCACATGGCACAGGATTATGTCCAGATGGTTCTGGAATATCCCTAGTGAGGGGGACTCCACATCCTCTCTGAAAAATCTGTTCCAGTGCTTGGTCACTGCACAGTGAAGAAGTTCTTCCTCATGTTCAGGACGAGCTTCCTATGCATCAGTTTTTGCCTATTGTTGCTTGTCCAATTGCTTGACAGCCTCAACAAGAGCCTGGCTACATCCTCTTGGCATTTGCAATTTCCTATCAAATCAGAATACTAAATGGGTAGTGCTGCCTCTGTGTTCCTGTGGAACACATAAAACCATGGAGATAAGGTTTAAGATGCAAGAGTGTAGAATCTGAGAACCTTAGAGAGCTTCAAGAAATGAGATGGTGGTTGAGAATGTGATAATCTTTCAAGTGGGTCAGGACTGAACAAACAATCTATTTCAACAGTACCAATACTTAATTTATTTAATTCAATAACCAGTACTTAAAAGAGG